AATAATGTTATTAAAATATATCCTTGAGAAGAGTTTTAATTTAAATGTCAAGCAAAGAGAAAAGGTCTCAAACTGTACAGATTTGAAATCATCTGCATTTTCAGTTTTTAAAGTATTTATGAATATCTTCAATTAAGTTGCCTGCAGAACCAAATAATACATTTTGATTACAGATTGGTAAATTATGATGGAATAAACTAAAAATGTTCAATGTTTCAAAGGCATTCATTTTTATTCAAGTCCCCTGGAAATCTTCAATGGCATCTCAATATATCAAAATAAATTTTAAACTTCAGCCTGACAACATTTTCCACAATAGGATTCTGATTTTTCTTTTTCCCACCTTATGATCTGACCTCACCTTATTGACTGACCACTTATTGTTTTCTGTCCTTTTTATGTGCCTTTGCTCAGGACACTTCTTCAGCCCAACCCGTTAGGCAGTGGATCAGCCCAGCTAAGCAAGATGCGGCTCAACTCCACTAGGAAGTCTGCCCTTCTTCTATACTTACTTCTGCTGGTAAAACTGATCCCTCTCTCCTCATATTTCCAAAGACTTTTGCTTGTTTTACTATGATAAAATATATTCTCCTCTTCTTTGATTTAGATTTATATTAACATATGATGTCACCCTCACTCCACAATGAGTTCCAATGTGTCAGGGATTGTCCTGTTCCTGATCTGCAGTATGTGGCAGAAGGCTACATCTAGTTCATGGTCAAAAAAGAGATTACTGAATTTTTAAAACCCCCCACTTTCCCAATATACAAGAACAAAGTACAAACCATAATGTGCATAATTTTAATTTAGGAAAGTCAAACTTGAAATAAAGGTCTGATGAGAATTAGAGAAATTCAGGTTTTTAAAAATGAGGAGAATTATTCAAAGATTGAACAGATCATAACAATTGCTAAATGAAATTGGAAGTGCAATAAAAGAGATTCAGAAGAGGAGGATGGTCATATTTAAGAACTAGAAATAAAGCACACTGTGTATAATATTCACTACACCTCTGTAGTTTCTGCTATAGCATTTTACATTATTCAAATCTTTTTATCACTGCTTATGACAATATTTGCTTCCCTTATGAATTCATTTTCAATGCAGTCTTGTACTGTCATTGAATTTGAAAGATATTCTAATTTAAGATTATCAGAATTAGACAGAGTACTATATTGACTGAATAACAGGAAGTTTTATGCCTATGAAATTCAAAATGCCTCAAACATAACGAAAGCGGCAAGCTCAAGAGAAATATAAAATAGTATGTACAAGTAACAGTTTATTATCTCTAGTTCACATGCAATTATTTTACACTTTTGGAAAATAATATTGATGTACTTGTGTAAAATGCAAATAATATAAAAGGGTGTTTGAGACTATATAAGACCTAATATTATGGTCTATAAAGGATACATGTATGTATAAGGAAGAATAGGAAAAAGAAAACAGGAAGTTAACTAAATGTACTTAGTACTCTATCTATGCCAGGACCTAACTTGGAACAGTAATAATAGCTAACACTTCTTGAGGGTTTACCATGTCTAGATATAATTCTGAATGTTTATATGGATTGCACCATTTAACCTTTAAAACAAACCTATGAGTTTAGCACAATTATTTTCCCCTTTTCCAGATGAGGAATTTGAAGCACAGAGATTACATAACTCACTAAATGTCACAGAGCTACGAATTTCAAAGTTGAAACTTGAATTTAAGCAACCAAGCACTGTGTACTTATCCTCTACATTAAACATTTCCTGGCTGGTTTTATTAACTCCATTTTACAAAGCAGAAACTTGAAGTTAAGTGATATTAAATAGGTTCCCCAAATAGACACCCCTAATCAATGACAGAGGCAGCATTCAAAATCAAATCTATTTGATTCCAAATCCCTTAATGACCCCTCTACACCACCTCCAAAACCACATGAGATAAAATATTAATAAAATATATTCAAACCATATTCTATCCTTTCTATTATTTAAATACCAACTGCACTTCTTCCTAGCTGTGTGACATTAGGCAAGCCACTATACACTTTTTGCTTTAGTTCCTTCATCTGTAAAATGAGGATAATGATACTTCATACCTCAAAATAATTGTTTGGAAGATTGAATATGATATGTAAAGCACCTTAATAGTGCCTAGCACAAACTTCTTTTTAATATTATCATTATGATTATTACTGTCATTATTATTTATAAATTATTGTAGTTAGGGAAATAATGAATATATATTAATACTACTATAATAGATTGAGTACTACGCTAAGCATTTTTTCAACATTATCTCATCCCAATAACCCCATTAAGTTGTTGTAAAACTCATTTGTAAAACTGTGCAGGTAATGAGAAGACTCATCATTTTACAGGTGATGAAAAGAAAGCTTCAGAAAGTTCAGGAAATTTTTTTTCCCAAGATCATACAGCCCATGAATGGCAGGACCAGATATCAAACCTGGGTTTAACTGACTCCAAAGCCACAGGATAGTATGTGATCAAAGTCTAAAGAAAGGTGTAGTCCAAGTGTTACAGAAGTTCAGAGGATGCAGAACACTTCTTGTTTAGATGACTGAGAAGAGTTTCCTTGGGTGGGTTGATATTTGAGCTTGGTTGTTAGGGTAGGCAGAATTTCAATAGATGAGAAGTACAATACAATAGATGAGAAGTACAAATATTTTGAGGTTGTTAGGGTAGGCAGAAGTCAATAGATGAGAAGGACAAAACAAGCTTATGGAACAGTATAACAAAGAGGTCTTTAAACTGTATACAATCCACAGCATTGTAGGGAAAAATTAGAAGATAGAGCTACAAAGGTGAACATATAAACTCCATGAGTGCAAGACCGGTGCTTCCAGAATTATTCTGTTTAGTATAGCAATCTTGAGATACATGTGACACCTAAAATGTGGCTAAAGAGACTAAAGGACTGAATTTTAAATTTTATTTTATTTCACTTAATTAAAATTTAAATCTACAAACTGATACTCGACTCAACTGTTGAAAAATTTCAAGTATGTTTAGAACAACTTAGATATGTAGATCTACTTTTTCAACTGTACATCTTATAACCTCTAAATGCAGATTAAGGCTTTTTAGTGAAAATTTACCTTCTGAATTGAGATGTGCTGTAAGTATAAAATATACATTGGATTCTTAATATTTATTTTCAAATAATATAAAATATCTCATGAATATTAGTGAGCATTAATAGTGATTACATTTTGATATCTTATAGACTTTGTGTTGAGTCAAAATGCATTATTTAAATTAAGTTTACCTATTAATTTTACTTTTTTAACATGGCTACTAAAAAATTTAAAAGTACATACAAGACTGATATTATATTTCTATTAGACAGAGATATACTAGCCTATTCCTAGCACTAAGTAGGCACTCCATAAAATACTTGTTAACCAAATGTAGTAGGAACCTTACAGACAGGTTGAGGATCTTGTATTTTATTCGACAGACAAGACAGCCACTAAACCATCTCAGTAACAGAAGTGATATGCTCAGAGTACTCTTTTAGAAGGCTCCATTAGAAGAATACTACAAACAGAAGAGAAATTGAATTAGGTTAGAAGTATATTGCAATATTAAAATAGGACCTGAACACATTCTGCTCCTCCACAAATTCTTCCAAAGCAGCTCAGTCTAATAGCGTAACATTGTGTAAATGTTCCATGTTTCTCATGAGAATTCCAAACACTCTTAGAAGTGAAAGGCAATTCCTTTTCCAGCAGAGCCTTACTCCTCTGTGCACCTCATTATATCACCTGATCCTTTTAAAGAGAAAGTCAAAATCAATGCAGTTAATCTCTGTATAGAGCCATGTGGGATAGAATTCCCTTTATTATAGTTATGATCTGCCAAATATAGCTTCATAGCATAATTTTAAATATACACAGATGGAATTACAGGTATAAAAAAGCCTGAATCTACTCTATTCTCCACCCAGCAATCAGAGTTCTCTTTTTCATCACATCTGATTGTGTCATTCCCTGTTGAAAACTTTAACGTTATGCTATGGCTGAAAGGATAAAGTCCAAACTCAATTAGCAGCCTTTCCCCAACTAATCCTATTCTGCCTCAACTTTCTGCAATGCCTTTCTATAAATACTGACTCATTCAGGCCTCTTTCAGTAGTAAGTGGCAAGAATCTAACACAAACTAGTCAAAGAATTTGTTCGTCCCACAATAAGTAAATGTCCCATAAATAGACGGACACATGACCAGTGGATGCTGGTCTCATTCACTCCTGCTGCAGACAGACTTGCTCCATGTGGCAGAATAAATGTCTATTATCAACCCCTATCTCATTTTCTTAAAACTCCTTGACTGAAATTGCAAAACACCTTTTCCTCCACTCTAAATAAATAAATGCTACCATGTGGAGAGTGTGTACCATGTTCCAGGCACTGTTCTGCCCACTTTATATATAACAAGTGATTTGATCTTCACAACACCCTACTATCATCCCCACTTTGAAGATGGGGAAACAACCACAGAGGGATGTATCAACTTGCCCGAGATCACCAAGGTAAGAAGTGGCAGGGCTGGGATTTTGAACCAAATAGACAGACTCTGACATCAAGGCACCTCTGCAGAATCCTTGCTGCCAGGGGAAAAGGAATTGCGATTGGCTATGCCTCAGTCATTGGTTCACCCTGGTGGAGGAATAGGGGAGCACTGTGATGGACAGCCCGCCAGAAACACAGGACAGGACTGGAGCAGGAGAAAAAGAGCGCTAGGCAGATCAAAGCAACAGAGTCTGACAGAAAGTCTATGCTCCAAACACAGAGGACAGAACAAGTCGCCCTTTGTAAAATATAGCAGGCACTCCTTTGCCTCTGCAATTCACCACTCTTCCCACCCTCACCTCCCAATTCTCTTCCCCAAGAACTATTTATCAGTCTGCAAGGCAAGCTCCAGCAATGACCGACCTCTTCAGCAACACTTCCCTGGTTCCCACAGGCAGAATCAATCACCACCTACCTCGTGTTCCTTCCATGCCTCAGGCAGCCCAGCGGCGGTAAGTGCAGACGCACGTTCTGTGTGGAAACCTTGTCATTCCTGCTCCTTTAAAAGGAATTTGTGGTAGCAGGACTTAGTCTAGCACATTTTTCCTCCACTTACTCATAATTGTTGCTTTCTTGGATCAATTCTGGGTCTTGAGATTAATACTGTTCAACTCCACTCCTGGGTTTCCTGTTAGTAGGCGTTGGAGATGTCTTCCCTCTCTGCTGTGCTCTCCCCTCTCCAGCTGTTTTCTACATTCAACTGTCATTTTTTTAGTGAAGACCCCTAACATGGGGGGCTCATTTTAAGAAACTTGCCTCTGACATAACACACGCCAGCATGTCTCCATTGTGGTGCTCATTTAATTGGTTTATAGTTATTTGTTTTGATGTCTGTCTCACCCTGTGAGACTTTGAGCAACTTAAGGATAGGGATTGTGAATAAATAACCTGGTTAGCCTTAATGTTGGAAGGAGTTCCTGGCCACGGTGAAGACATAGAGGATCTGTTTCCTTGAATTCAAGAAAGAAACAAGGAGAAGGAGGAAGGGAGAAGAGAAGGGAAGGAGAAAAGAAAGAAGAGAGAGAGAAAAAAAATTGTGAAATTATTTCAGTATTTACTTTTTTCTTGGGCAAGGACAATTAAGAAAACATGTTCAATTCAAATTTAAATCAAATAAGCTCCTTTTAAATTTACAGTGATGAAAAATTAAAGTAATGAAACAGTGAAACAATTCCTGCTATTGTCCAGGAGAGAAAATTCTCAGAAACAAGCTTTTCCTATATGACCTTGGACACATTTGCCTTTATCTCCTATGACAATTTCAAGCTAATGCAAAAAGAAAAAAAAGTGGGGGTTAATCAAAGTAAATCTTCTTCTTATCAGGCCCAGAAAAGTAATTTAGAATAGAGGGCTGCGCAACAGATTGTTTTGCCCTAACCTTAATCTGGCCTTTGAACAGAAGAGGGTGGGTGGGCATCACCCTGAGTTTGGAATTGGCATTGACCTTGTCCAAATTACTGGCTCCCTGCAGCCTAGTTTCATCTCTTTCTCTGGCCAGGAGAGAATGGTGTGGTTAGAAATGGTTGATAGTTGAATCCCTCATCAAGAAAGCTCACTAATAAGTGTATTTTTCTTTACAAAATGTTTCCAAAAGAGTGTTTCTGACTCTACAAAACAATGTCCTGAGAGGCAATTTCTTAGGAGTAAAATCTGCATCTTTCTCTAAAATGAAGTTAAAGCAAGCACTTGACACAATCAGAGTAATCAAAAGTGTTAACTCTGGACCTAGAAGGTTCAGAGGTTTAGGTTCCAATCCTAGATCCTCCACTTTGCTGACTGTGTGAGTTTGGGCAAGCTATTCTAATCTCTTTGAGCCTCAATTTCCTCAACTCTACTTGAAGATAATAATACCTAATATAGTTGTGAAGATTAAATGCACTGGTATTTGTTAAGTACTTAAGTACAATTATGCCTAATACACAGAAGGAACGATGTATTTGTAAAAAGTAAAATAAATCCAGCAGGCAAATATAAAGTATATAAATACCTTTGAAACATTATCTAAAATTACTAAGAGTAAAGAGAAGACAGAAGAACGACTTCATACATCTTACAGTCTGTATCATATATATGAAGTAATGTGGAATGAATCTCAAATTTTAAGTTTCAGTAACTGAAAACTTTAAGTAATGTAGGTCCAAGAGTTTTATGTTTTCTTAGGTCAATAGGTTGTTAAATTAAAAAGTATTTCACTAAGTAAATAGCATGTGTGTTATATAAACTTCAAGAAGCCTGATGGTTCCTTATATAACCAGTGTGTCTTCTCTCAAGCTAACTTTAATGTTCCCAACAATTCATGAAATATTGCTTAAAACCTTTTAATTAAACCATTAATTTTCTTTAAAGTACTTTGTGAGGACAGTGCCTTATTGTCACAGAGAAGAAAAATTATAAGTTCTATAAATCCTACAATAGTTTGAAAACACCCAGAGATCAGTAAGTGCTCTGCCCTCCAACCTCTATCATTTCCTTCTTTGGCTGTGCTATCATCAAACGTCTGCCCCATCTAAGAACAAAGATTTCAACTCTCTCTTTTTAAAGAAAGAATAAACCTAATAAAGATATTTTAATGACAACACCTCATAAGAATCTTATTGGTTCTTGTTTGTTTGCTGTGTGGCTTATTTTTTAAATAGTTCATGAGATCCAAATATCAGAGTAAAATATTAATAAAATCAATATAAAAAGTAAAAGCTTAATAACAGGACATCACATCTACCAGCCTTAATAAAGGTTCATTTTAAGCTCTCTGCAGTTTATCTTGCTAATTAGATGTTTGAAAAACCCTTCTGAAGCCCAGAGATTTTTCTTCTTCCCCATATTATATCTTGGGGAATGAATTTGGAGAATCCAAATACTACTAAAATATAATAATGCCATGATTAGGGAAGCCAAAAACAATAGATTGAAAAACTCAAACAGTACCAGCTATTGTTAAGTTAATAAAAAATGTTTTTTTCTTCGCTACTGTCACAAAAAGCACAGAAGTAAAGACAGCAAACATTCTGTACACATCTGCATTGATAAAGTCCCAAATTATCACAGGGAAGTCATTTTCTAATTCTTCTCCCACCCGCCTTCTCTCCACAGGAATCAATTCCCAGTCTAAGTTCATGTTGTTGCCAGATATACTATCCCTGGGTTTTACTATCCAAGAGGAGAATTGTGCAGCCAAGGGAAGATGAAGCAAACTTTATAAAAGAAAGGATGTTGAATGCAAACTCTAAGCATACCTAAAGTCTAAACTCACTGACTTGGTAACAAAATGAGCTTAAGGGAAAAGGCAAATTTACTGAAGGCATACAGGGTTATCTCTTGAAATCCAAGGTCAAAATATGCAGCTGGGGTTTGTGAGACACTAGAACTAAGAACAGAAAAGTCAGCATGAGCCAACACAGCTGCTATTTTCAACATTTTTGTTCTCTCAGGGAAGCAAGATCTAACATCTCTCTTTCACTCTACAAATTGGCCTCATTCTTCAATTTTGAGATGGACTCACTTACAAATGGGCCACCTGACTAAATTCCTGGAGGAGAGAATCTAATTAGAGGAGATAAGCTTCCAGATAGGTTCTCTTGGTCCAGTGAATGTTGGCCATTTGTGTTATAGAAATAGAGCACAATGAGGGTCACAGCCATAGTCTACATCAAAGGTTGGCAATTTTTTTTTCTGTAAAGGCGATATAGTACATATTTTAGGCTTTGGGAACCATAGATTCTTTGTCAAAACTAATCTATTCTGCTGTTGTAGCACAAAAGCAACGATAGACAATACTTAAATGTATGGATACGGCTGTATGCCAATAAAACTTTATTTACAAACATAGGTGTTGGGCAGGATTTGTTCTGTAGGCTATAATTTGCTGAGCCATGGTCTACAACTACACTATGAGCAGAAAAGACTTTCTAAGAAAGAGATGGGACAAGTTGGAGTGGGTAATCATCTGTAGCATACTCACCAAGCACTGAACACTAGAAGCATTGCCCTGTAACATATGGGGGAAGCTGAAGCTTGGCTGTAAGGCATAAGGCATCAGCATCATGTTCTGAGAAGGGTTTTCATTCTATCAACATAATTTCTACCTCTGCACCATACTGGCATCTCCTCAGGATAAAAAGGAAGGGAGAGCTCAAAAGAAAGTATCCAATTCAGCAGACTGAGTTGGAATAGAGAGATCCATGCTGCTATAGGAGAGGAAGGTTTTCAGAAATGCATGCCTGACAAACTCATATCTAGCTACAGCACTACTGGGAATTGTACATTATGAGGAAAGTGGTAGATAAACTCACAAGGTGTAGTTGGAAAACAATACAGTACGCAATTTTAAAGTCGTATTTTGAGCTAGGAAGAAAAAGGGGATATAAATATTACATGAAGCAGTGTTTTAAAATGGTATTCCATCCATTTCAGCAAACCAGATATTCAGCGTTTTATAGCACCTGAAACCAGCTGTGATATGAATGAGGGTGAAACACTTGCACCACTGAGGTAGCTGCCCCAACAGTGTTGGGAAAATATGATTGAGGAATTAATGAGATGTGGCTCATAAGACCATTACTTTATTGTATTACCCAATATTACTATATCAAAGATGGAAACAGGAGTTTGCAGGGTTTTGCCCTGAAGGAATGTGTGGACTCAATGGTTCACTTATTAGAGGCTACTATCATGGGAAAGCTCTCAAATCTCCAGTGGGGATGTTTTTCAGGAAGGCTTCCCAGTATCTCAAAATCTGTGAGCTTCCTCGTGTCTTAAAAGACAAGACAAGGCAAATATGGCCCACAGGATGGGAGCCGGAGACAATGAGTGCACTTTGCCCAGAGATGCGCCCTGGTGGTTATAAACAACCTATTTTATTAGAGATGGGCTTCCTGCTGTCTCCTGTCTGTCTACCTTTAAGTGTACCATAACTAATCAAAGAAATATTGAGTCACTATACCTCTTTTGTTTTACCTTTGTTCATTGACAACTACCTCTTTAGAAGTTAGCCTCTGGAAGACTTTGTACCTGTTTGTTCACCTGGATAGATTAGAAGCCCCTTGAGAGGACTTTTGACCCTAACCCACTACCTGTATCCCCTAGCAACTGCATTCCCTGATATGCAAATATGTTACCCTGACAACTGGTAATTGATGTCTGTGATTATAAAAACCTGTATGAAGCTAACCATATTGCTGGTGTTGATGGAGATACACTGGTCCCCTAGGAACTTCCCATTGTGTTATATCTGATATATATATATGTATATATATATAACTATAAACTATACCTTAGTCTCTGTGTATTCTTTTATTTTTCTCTGTTGCCTATCCATTTCTTTATCCTCTGTGGTGACCCCTATCTTAGGGATTTGGCTCTGTGGGAAGAAGCAGCTGATCTCCTCATGGGCCTGCCTCAACTACTCTCTCCCCCAAAAAAGGCATTTTTTTTTTGACACAGAGTCTCGCTTTGTTGCCCAGGCTAGAGTGAGTGCCGTGGAGTCAGCCTAGCTCACAGCAACCTCAAACTCCTGGGTTCAAGCAATCCTCCCGCCTCAGCCTCCCGAGTAGCTGGGACTACAGGCATGCACCACCATGCCTAGCTAATTTTTTCTATATATATTAGTTGGCCAATTAATTTATTTCTATTTATAGTAGAGACAGGGTCTCGCTCTTGTTCCAGTTGGTTTCGAACTCCTGAGCTCAAATGATCTGCCCATCTCGGCCTCCCAGAGAGCTAGGGTAACAGGCATGAGCCACCGCACCCAGCCTAAAAGGGCATTTTTGTTTGATGCTTTCCCAAAGCCACCAGTGTGAACAAAGAATTTTGCAGGAAAGGATAAGTTTTCTTTAGCACTTGCTGCAGCCTAGATATGGTGAGCAAGACCCAGCTCTGCAATCAGTAGAAGAGGACAATCAGAGATGGGTTTCAGTGACTGGGCAGCAATTTTCCTCTATGGCCTCAATAGCTT